GACCAAGGGGCCTGTCTCCCACAGCTCCAGCCGGATGGGTGTGGAGGAGCCAACACAAACCACCCAGAGCCTGCATGGGAGGCTGAGGAAGGGGAGCTCTGAGGGCCTAGCCAGTGCTGGAAGATGATGGAGTCACAGAGGCCTCTCTGGGGGATATGCATCCCTCAGGCCATGGTTTGCACTCGACTACTAACCTAAAGTTTGGTGGTTTGAACCCACTCAGCAGTGCTAAGAAGAAAGGCCTGTCCATCTACTTCCATAAAAATTGTTATTGTTACTTGTGGTCAAGTGGATTCTGAGTCATGGGGACCATGTGTGCAGAGTACAACTGCTCCATAGTGTTTTCAAGGTTGTGGCTTTTCTGAAGCAGATCACCAGACCTATCTTTTGAGGTGTCTCTGGGTGGGTTTGAACCACCAAACTTTAGGTTAGTAGCTGAGAGCAATCTGTGTCACTCAGGGACCTTTTCTAGATAGATAGATGGATGGATGGATGGATGAATAGGTGGGTGGGTAGGTAGATAGGTAAATAGATACATAGACACATATGTGCCTAGATACCTAGGTAGCAGTCACTGAGTGGATTTCAACTCATGGCGACCCCATGTGTGCAGAGTAGAACTGCTCCATAGTGTTTTTTTTTTTTTTTTTTTTTGACTTTAACAAAGAGAAGCTTATTTCTTCAAAGAAAGTAGGCTAAAAGTCCAAATTCAGGGCCTCAGCTCCAGGGGAAGCCGTTCTCTGTTGGCCTTCTCATCAATCTTCCCTTGGACTGGGAGCTTCTGCATGTAGGGACCCTGGGTCCAAAGGATGCACTCTGCTCCTGTCACTGCTTTCTTGGTGGTATGAGGTCCCCAACTCTCTGCTTGCTTCCCTTTCCTTTTATCTCTTGTAAGATAAAAGGTGGTGCAGCCCATACCCCAGGGAAACTCATTTACATTGGATCAAGGATGTGACCTTACTAAGGGTGTTACAATCCCACCTTAATCCTCTTTAACATAAAATTACAATCACAAAATGGAGGACAATCTCACAATACTGGGAATCATGGCCCAGCCAAATTGATACACTCATTTTTGGGGGGACATAATTCAATCCATGACACAGTACTTCCCTTTCTGAGATACTGCTAAGACTCAGTCAGGATGATGCTCCTTTTTACTGTGGTAGGTCTAATAAATTTAGTTTTTCTTGATCAGCCAGTTTTTCTGGTGGTGTTTTGGGGAGTCAACAATCAACACCTGGGAACCATAAGAAGAAACTAAAATGATCATTAAATTTTAGAGGAAGAGAAGGGAGTGTGAAGCAGAAATAGAAGCACTAGTAATATCATCAGGCCAAAGCAAATTTTATAGCCACAAGTATCTCTGCAAGTGCTTTCTATTGCTGAGTCAGGCTAAGTAACAAAAGAACATCCCTTTGAATCAGGAACCATAGTGTTTTTAAGGCTGTGAACTTTCACAAGCAGATCACCATGCCTACGCTCAAGTCATCTCTTGGTGGGTTTGAACTGACATCCTTTTGGCTGATAGTCAAGCCCTTAGCTGTCTGCCCTACCCAGGGACTCCTTCCATAAAGATCACAGCCCAGAAAACCCTCTGGGGCTGTTCTACTCTGCACACAAGTGGTTGTCATGATGACTCAGCGGCTAGGGGTTTGGTTTTTTTTGCTTAGGCCCCTTTGGACTTGATCACATGGACCTGATCCTGATCAATCTTGGAGGGCTGGAAACGTTGCCTGGGACAGGAAGTGTAAAGACAAACCTGGGCTGAGCCGACATTGGGGGATGATTTGGGGCCCCAGGCAGCTCTGGAAAAAGTTTAGTCAGGGCTGCTCCCCCACAGTGAGGTGCAGGCCTCTGAGTCTAGAAAGGAGCTCTGCAGGAGCAGGGGGCTCAACAGCTCTGTGGGACTAGGAGGGGGAGGTGGAGCAGGGGCCTATGGAGGAGCCAGGCCTCAGAGACACACCAGAGATGCTGGGTGGGGACCAGGCCCCTGCTGTAAAAGGCTTTGCAGACAGGCTGGAGTCTGTGGCGTGGAGGGGGCACTGGAAGCCCCAACCTGCAGGGACAATGACATCAGACACTGACGTCACAGGGAGTCACATAATCAGGAAACAGAGGCCAAGGACTCCAGCTCTCTTACCCTAGAGGCCTAAACCCCGAGTAAGGAGTGATGCTGCCCAGCCGGGCTGCCCTGGGCTCCAGGCTTTGTTGCTGGGCACTACTTTGCATCCTGGGGGCAGGTGAGTCCTGTGGACAGTGGACCCCTGCACTCGGAGCTGGGCCTTCCCTGGGGGTGCACCATCAGCCCCTCCTGTGCTCTTTTCCTCTCCTCCTCCCCCACAGGCTCAATGGGTTCTGAGGTCACCCAGACCCCGAGACACCTGATCAAAACACGAGGACAGCAGGTGACGCTGAGCTGTTCTCCCCTCTCTGAGCACCTCTATGTGTACTGGTATCAGCCCCCAGTTTCTCTTTCGGTATTACAGAGAACAACAGCAGGAGAAAGGCGACATCCCAGACCGGTTCTCAGGCCGACAGTTCTCTGACCACCACTCAGAGCTGAACCTGAGCACCCTGGAGCTGGGGGACTCGGCCGTGTTCCTCTGTGCCAGCAGCTTGACACAGCCCTGCGCAGCCCCCGCCACCCTGTGCACAAACCCCTCAGCCGGCTCAGGAAGTGATGGTGAGAGTCAAAGGGGCTCCCAGGCTGAGCTCAGGCCTGCTGAGCTGAGGGTTCCCCAGACACTCTTTCTGCTGCTTATCCATGGAACGTGCCTCAGTGCTGATAGAAGTGTGCAGAGGAAGGAATGTGTGACTGTTTATGCAGCTGCTGAACCATGATTGACAGAGGTGAAGCCACTCTCCTGCTCATAGAAGTCACACTTGGCTCCTGTCCTCCGGCACCTGCGCCCCCGGATCCCACCATGCAGAACTATCCCGGTATCGGCTTCTCCTTCCCAGGCCCAGCTGTGCAGGAGCAGGAAGGTCATAGGTCATGCACCACGTGGGATTGTCATACCCACTTCCCTGACTACTTCAGGGCAGAGACCTTGCATGGGTCCTACAGGCGACAGGAGAGAAAGGCACAGTTTTCTGCACTGGAAGAATTCCATCCTCATGGAATAAGATATACAGAATTACAAACTGTTTTGCCAATAGGAAAGTGTCTTCAGTTGGGTTCTACGGAGAAGAAAAGCCAGAAAAGTGTATAAATATATATAGAGAGATATTTATATCAAGGAAACGACTCATGCTGTTGTAGAGCCTGGAACATCCCAAGTCCGTGGGTCAGGATAGAGGATTCTCCTGATCCGTGAAGCCACAGGGGTTTGCGAACCCATGATCAGCAGGTCAGAGAGCAGGGCTCTTGCTCACAGGCTGTGAAGATCAACAGAACCCAAGACTGGCAAGCAGGTAAGCTGCTAGTTCAAGTTCCAGGAACCAGAGGTCAGAGGAACAGGAGCCAGCTGCAGAATCTAGAATGAGCAAAAGCTCACAAGCCTCGCCAGAATACCCACTTGTATTCAATGCAGGCCACATGCCCAAGGAAACTCCCTTTCAACTGATTGGCTACTCACAGCAGATCCCATCATGGAGGTGATCATGTAACATGAAATCTTATCATGGAAATTATCACAGTATCACATGATGATCAAATAACTGAGAATCATGGCCCAGCTAAGTTGACACAGAATCTTAACCATCATGGCAAGTCTCACCTACTTATAAGACTTGGGCAAATTCAGAGGAGGGCGTTCCTCCCACTGTGAGCTGTTGGTCTGCATGTTTATTGTTGACTTGAGGTTTCCGGGGGAGGGGGGCAAAGGGGTGTGGCCACTGTGGTAGGCTGCTGTGGGGCCTGGCTAGGGCTGAAGGGTGACATCTCAGAAGGAGCCCTCCAGAGCCCGTCCCTGCACGCTGCCTGCCTCAGCCATGCACCTCCTGTGCACTGTGGTCCTGGCTGTCCTGGGGGCAGTTGCATCCTGGGTGGGACCCTCCCCTTTCCAGGGATTTCCTGATTCTGCCCCAGCCTTTCCCTGTGGCTGCAGCACCAGCTTTGCTCTCTGTCCCCACAGGACACACAGATGCTGGCGTCACCCAGACCCCAAGGCACAAGTTCACAATGACAGGAGGGAATGTGACCCTGCAATACACCCAGGACATGAACCATGAGTACAGGTACTGGTACCAACAAGACCTGGGGCTGTGGCTGTGGCTGATCCACTACTCCATAGATATTGGTGATGTCAAAGGCGACATCCCATATGGGTACAGTGTCTCCAGATCAAACACGGAGCACTTCCCCTTCACCCTGAGGTTGGCCGCCCCCTCTCAGACAGCTGTGTACTTCGGCACCAGCAGTGTCTCCGCAGCACTGCACGGCCACCTCAGCCCTTTACAAAAAGGGCTCAGGAGGCTTCCGCAGCCCACTGACCCTGGGGTACTCAGAGCTGAGGTGACAGGGACAGTGGCCTCTGTTCCTGCTGAGGTCCACATCCAGGCCACTCAGTCAGCCTGGACCTTGTGATGGGGACTCAGCCATGTGTCCCTGGGCTAGCGGCAAACACACAGAGCCCCAGTGCTTCCTGCCCAGGGCCCCTTGCCTGTTCCCAAACATTCTGCCCTCTAGAACCCTGTTTCCATGCTCCGTTTGAAGGATAAGCAGTTTGTAACTACAGTCATCCAGTTAATAAAATGCACATATTTTAATGACTGTGGAACAAATGGGTGGTCTCTTAGCAGTGAAATGAAGAGTTGAATCCCCTGTAACAGCCTCGTGGGTTTCTGGAAGCACAGGGAGATGCACTATTGTATATCACACACCGTTTCTTGGGCGATGAGGCTGAGTCTCCTCCATAAAGAAGAGGAAGACATTTCTGTGGCATGGAGACTTGAGTGGCAGGGCATTGCCATGGGCTGTGGGGACAGAATCCTTCATGGAAATGAGAGAATGGAGGGAGACTCTGGTCTTTGTCTGGGCCCATGGGCCAGGACCTATGCTGTGATTTTTTAAAAAGCAGCTTATACATATTCAAATCACTCACCCAAGTGTGTTATAATATGATTAGGTGTTCATGAGGCCATGGGGACTGATGAGACAGTGACATCACCTGACTTCTGGGAAGAAGGACGTCTCCTCCTCTGCTCATGCCCCCAGAGACCCTGACCGGCAAACGCTCCAGTCCTGCCCGACCCACCATGGGCTCCAGACTCCCCTGCTGGTTGGCCTTCTGCCTCCTGGGGGCAAGTGAGTCCCTGGATACCAAGTAGTTCCAGTGTGTGTGCGGTGTGTGTGTGGATGCATGGAGGATGTGTGTGTGTATGTGTGTGTGTGGCAGTGTGGTGTGTGCATGTATGTGGTTTGTGTGTGTGGTGTGTTTGCGTGTGGTTTCTGTGTAGGGTGTATGGTGAGTGTGTGTGAGGTGTGGGTGATGTTTGTATGTGTCTGTCCATCTGTCTATATGGTGAGTCCCACCATTTTCCCCATCTGTTCCCAGCGTCTGTCTCTGCAGGTCACACAGGTGCTGGAGTCTCTCAGGTCCCCAGGCACAGGGTCACAAAGAAGGGCCAGGCTGTAGCCCTCAGCTGTGATCCAATTTCTGGTCATGTTGGCCTTTACTGGTACCGACAGAACCTGGGGCAGGGCCTGGAGCTCCTGACCTATTTCCAGAATAAGTTTCCTGGAGACACGTCAGGGATGCCTGAGGCTCGGTTCTCTGCGGATAGACCTGACGGGTCATCTTCCACACTGAGGATCCAGCCCGTGGAGCCAGGGGACTCAGCCGTGTACCTCTGTGCCAGCAGCTTAACCACAGTGTGGCATTGCCACCTCCTTCCTGTGCACAAACCACGTACTCCTCTTCTCTCCTTGCCGCTCCTAGAAGATCTGAGCAGAGCCTTTCTCTGTCCTCCACTCCCCAGGAAAGAGGTAGACTAGGACATCAGCTGACATTAGGAAGAGGCCAGACCACAGGTGAACTCCTAAAGCACTGTGGCTGTAGAGGTTGGGTGGATGGAAATCATTAGATGGTAACTAAAATGTCTGCCCAGTCCTTTGCTGATCAGTATTTACTGGGATTACCTTGATGGTCTTGTATGTGGCAGGATTAGGGCATTTCAGTATATCTTCAGTAATGGAGACAGCAGGACCTCTTTCCATTTCAAGTTCTGTGTTTTTCTTCCTATTCTAGACCAGATTCTATTTCCTTCTGTCCCCCATTCTATTCCTCTCCCTTTCAGAGCACGGTTTTAAGGGAGAAAATCCCAATTAGTTGATAACTGTCAGATACACAACAGGAGTTAGGCAGAACGAGGGTGGGACATTAAACATGGTATCTCAAGGAAATAGAGTTAGGATGTTTTAGGCTGGGTTCTCTAGAGGAACAAAATGAGTGAAGTATATATATAAAGATATACAGAAATATTTCTTTCAAGGAACTGGCACACATAATTTTGGAGCCTGGCAAGTCCCAAATAGGTGGGTCAGGTGTCAGGCTGGAGGTTTCTCCTGACTCGTGTGATTGCAGGAGCTGTTGAATCCAAAATATGTATGTCAGGCTGCTGGCTGAAGTCTTCTCCAGGAATGGGGTCAACCATGAAATGAGTGCAGGATCAAGAGAGAATGCAAGCTCTGCCAGAATATCCTTATATATTGGGTGTAGGCCACATCCTCAAGGAAATTGCTTCCTGTGTTGGCCACTAGATGGCACTGAGGTACCACTGAGGTCTAAGGGGCTCTGGGAGGGTCTGGAAGAGCTGCCTGGGAGGCAAAGGATTAAGAAAAAGTACACTGCATCCAATATTAAGCAGATGTTTGAAGCTCTCTGTCACAGCTAGGCTACCTACAGCTCTGTGGGAGGTGGGATGCCCCTCTAAATGCCAATGAGACCCATATGGGAGAACCGTGGCCCCACAACCTTGATGCCGGGGGCAGGCACAAAGAGAGAAGAAGATGAGAAACCACGGGGTGGGGTCTGCCCTGAACTCAGTACACTGGCCTCACCCTGTCCTTCCTGCAGTCAGATGGGCCTGGTAGGGAGAACTAGGGTAAGGCTGACACGACTGTCCACTGGTGAAGGTGCTCCCAGATACAGGAGGAGGAAGGAGAAGAGGAGGAGGAGAAGAAAGAAGAAGAGAAGGAGGAGGAGCAGAAGGAGAAGAAGGAAGAGAAGGTGGAGAAGGGAGAGGTGTCTGAGGAGGAAGAAGAAAATGAGGAGGAAGGGCTTCCAAGGAGGAGGAAGAGGAGAGCACTGGGCTGGGTGGTCCCTCTCGCCCTGGCCTGCCGAGGGCCCCGAGCTCCTCTGGGTGGCCTTTTGTCTGCTGGGAGCAGGTGACCTTTGAGCGTCTCTGGTAACCCCTGTCCTGGGCATGCAAAGCCCTGGCTCCCAGCCCTCCTCATCTTCACAGTGTCAAGCAACTTTCACAGCCTTGTCTTCACCATGTCAGCCTCTCCAACAGGTCCCACAGACCTGGCAATCCCCCAGACACCAAGATCTCATATTACACAGGCAGGGAAAAAGACGATCTGGAGTGTTCTCAGGACATGGGCCATTTTGCAATGTTCTGGTGTGGGCAAGACCCAAGGAAGGGCCTGAGGTTGATCCACTACTCAGGGAAAGCTGTCAGCACTGCAAAGGAACACTTCTCTGTTAGCAGGTCTCCTGCAGGATAGTAGGTCTCTTGCCGGAAGAGCCAGCATTTCTGCAACCCTGGGTTGTCCAGCCCCAACCAGACCTCCTGGTACCTCTGGGCCAGCAGCTCAGCCACAGCGCAGCACAGCTAGCTTCTCCCTGTGCACAAGGGCCATTGCTGTGCAAGTGGACACCCGTCAGGAGGCCCCGTCTCAACCAGGAGGAAATCTCGTTACAGAAACACCAAAGCTGCTCCTGGCCTCCCCCTAGTGCAAACTTTGTCTATGGGGCCACGGGAACCCCAGTGTGAGCGTGTGTCTGTGTGTACATGTGTATGCTTGTGTTTTTGTGTGAGTGTGTGTGTTAGGCAGTTGTGTGTGTGTATTTTTGTGTGTGTATGCATGTGTGTGCGTGTGTGTGCAGGTGTGTGTGCATGCATGTGAGTATGTGCATATGTGTGTACACATGCTTGTGTATGTGCGTGTACATGTGTAGGCAAGTGCCTGCGCGTGTGTATGTGTTTCTGTGTGAGAGAGAGAGAGAATGCAAATAACACTGCATGATACTTCTACAATTTGGAGTAATCTGAGTATCTGAGTAAAGCAGAGGGCATTTGCTTTTGAAACCTGAAATTTATTGCTTATTTTCTTTTCAAAGTAGGAGACCACTGAGCAGCTTTAAACTCCTGGAGTGACCTGGGATCCTCCAACTCTAAAAAGATTACATAAAGTCACCTGAACTTTACTGTTATTGGGTTGTTGTTGTTGCTTTTCGTTGCTGTGGAGTTTTCTCCTGAATCATGTTGACCCCATGAACAACAGAACGTAAAGCTGCCCTGCCCTGCACCAGCCCCATGATGGATTGTGAATTGGATGGACCATTGTTATCCGTGGGGTTTTCATAGACTGATTTTCAAAAGTAGATCACCAGGGCTTTGAATTATGATGTTGGTGAAAAATATTGAATATACCATGGACTGCCAGAAGAACAAACAGATCTGTCTTAGAAGTACAGTCTGAATGCTCATTAGAGGCAAAAATGGTGAGATTTGGCCTCACATACTTTGGACATGTTATTAAGAGGGGCCAGTCCCTGGAGAAGGACACTGTCTTAGTCATCTAGGGCTACCATAACAGAAACACCACAAGTGGATGGTTTTAACGAAGAGAAATTTATTTCCTCACAGTCAAAGTAGGCTAAAAGTCCAAATTCAGGGCGTCAGCTCCAGAGGAAGCCTTTTTCTCTCTCTGCGGGCCTTCTCATCAATGTTCCCCCAGACTAGGAGCTTCTCGGCACAGGGACCCCTGTCCAAAGGATGCGCTCTGCTCCTGGCACTGCTTTCTTGATGGTATGAGGTCCCCCTGTCTCACTGCTCACTTTTGTCTTTTATATTTCAAGACATTGCCTCAGGACACAATCCAGTCTTGTAGATCAGGTCCTGCCTTACTAACACAACTGCTACCCATCCTCCCTCATTAACATCACAGAGGCAGGTTTACAACATAGAGGAAAATCACACAGTACCAGGAATCATGGCCCAGCCAAATTGATACACACATTTTTGGGGGGACATAATGCAAACCATGACAGATATCATGTTGGTAAAGTAGACAGTCAGTGAAAAAGAGGAAGACCCTCAACGAGATGGATTGACACACTGGCAGCAACAATGGGCTCAAGCATAGCAATGATTGTGAGGATAGCACAGGACCAGGAAGCGTTTCATTCTGTTGTACATAGGGTCGCTATGACTCAGAAAGGACGTGATGGCACCTAACAACAACATCACCACAGATTTGTTTTGTCTGTTCTTGAACTTCACATGATTGGAATCATGTAGTAATATTCATTTGTTACTGACTTCTTTCCCTAAAGATATTTTTGAAATGTATTCATATGTACTGTGTATCAATAGTTGATTCTTTCTCATTTTTGAGGAGTGTGCCATTGTGTAAGTATACCACAGTGTGTTCATCCATTCTCCTGTGGATGGATATCTGAGTTGCTTCCAGTCTTCAGCTATCGTGAAGAAAGCTTCTCCAAACATCCTTGCACAAGTCTTTGAGGATAAATATAGTCATTTCCCTTAGGTATAAACAAAAGTGGAATTGTTGATGCATAGGGTAGATGTGGAGTCCCTGGGTGGTGTAAATGGTTAACATGCTCGGCAGCTAAGTGAAAGGTTGGAGGTTTGAGTCCACCCAGAACTGTCTTGGAGGAAATATGTGGTGATCTATTTCCAAAAAAAATCAGCCATCCATAGGAAACCCCTATGGAGTACAGTTCTATCTGACATACATGTGGTCGGCATGACTTGGAGTCAACTGGACAGCAACAGGGCAACTGGTTTTAGGGTAGACACATGTATAGCTTTACTAGGATCATTGGCGCAGTTTTCCAACATTGCTGTACCAATTCTCAATCCCAGGGTGCGGGGGTTCCTCAGGTTCCACATTTGCAGTCATTTTTCTGTTAGCTATTCTAGGTTTGGAAACCCTGGTGAAGTAGTGATTAAGAGCTCGGCTGCTAACCAAAAGTTTGGTAGTTCAAATCCACTAGGCACTCCTTGGAAGCTCTATGTGGCAGGTCTCCTCTGTCCTGTAGGGTCACTGTAAGCTGGATCCAACTCCGTGGCAATGGGTTTGGTTTTGGCCATTCTATTTATATGATGCAAATGCCCCCATGGCCAACTCCCTAGGTCGGGAAAGGCGGAGAGTGAGTCTTCATTGGATTCTCTTAGGATTCTAGCTCCCCAAGGCGCACAGATTCTCACGCTTCTTCTGACTCTCCTGCAGTGCTGATTGCAGAAGGTAAGAACTTGTGTTCCTGCTCCTTGCAGAATGATAAAAATTGCATTACTTTTTTAAAGACAAAGTCTATTCTCCAAGCCTCATCCTTCCCTTGCTATGTATATCTATAGGGACCTTGAGTGGTACAATTTGTTTGCATTTAGCTACTAACCTAAAGGTTGATTGTTTGAACCCACCCAGCAGTGTCACTGAAAAAGCCCTGTCGATCTACTTCCATAAAAGTTGTTATTGTTGTTAGATGTTGTCGAGTGGTTGGTGAGTCATGAGGACCCCATGTATGCAGAGTAGAACTGCTCCATGGGGTTTTCAAGGCTGTTACCTTTTTGAAGCAGATTACCAGGCCATCTTCTGAGTTGTCTCTGGGTGAGTTTGAACCTTAGGTTAGTAGCTGAGAGCAATCTGTGTCACTTAGGGACCTTTTCTAGATAGATAGCTACATGGATAAATGGATGAATAGATGGGTGGGTAGTAGGGAGGTAGGTAAGTAGATAGATAGACAGACAGATAGATAGGTACATAGATACATATGTACATAGATACATAGCTACATATCTAGATTGATACATAGATAGATAGGATATACATACATAGATCAATAGATAGGTAGATAATACATAGATAGATACATAGATAGCTCTCACTGAGTGGTTTTCAACTCATGGCGACCCCAAGTGTGCAGAGTAGAATAGCTCCATATGGTTTTCAAGGCTGTGACATTTTATTAGCAGATCACCAGGCCTGCCTTCAAGGCATCTCTTGGTGGGTTTGAACTGACTTCCTTTTGGCTGTTAGTCAAGCCCTTAGCTGTTTGCGCCGCCCAGGAACTCCTTCCGAAAAGATCACAGTCAAGAAAAACCTCTGGGGCAGTTCTACTCTGCACACAGTGGATATCATGAGTCAGAGTCAACTCAGCAGCTATGGGTTTGGTGTTTACATTTAGGCTCCTTTGGACTTTGATCACATGGACCAGATCCTGGTCAATCTTGGAGGGCTGGAATACTGCCTCGGTCAGGAAGTGTAAAGACAAACCTTGGCTGAGCTGGTGTTGGGGGATGAATTGCCATCCAGGGAGCTCTGGGACAAGTTTAGTAAGGGCTCCTCCCCAACAGTGGGGCACAGGGCTCTGAGTCTAGAATGGAGCTCTGCAGGAGCAGGGGGCTCCACAGCTCCATGGAACAAGGAGGGGGAGGTGGGGCAGGGGCAGACTGAAGAGCCAGGCCTCAGAGAAACACCTGAGACACTGGATGGGGACTCAGCTTCAGTGTAAAAGTCTTTGCAGATACGGCAGGAGTCTGTGGAGTGGAGGGGGCACTGGAAGCCTCAGCCTGCAAGGACAATGACATCAGACAGTGAGGTCACAGGGCATCCCCCAATCAAGAAACAGAGGCCAAGGACTCCAGCACTCTCACCCCAGAGACCCAAAGCCCGAGTAGGCAGTTATGCTGCACTGCACAGTGGTTTGGGGCTCCCGGCTCTGCTGCTGGGTGCTGCTTTGCCTCCTGGGGGCAGGTGAGTCCCGTGGACAGTGGGCCCCTCCACTTGGAGCTGGGCCTCCCCTGGGGGTGCACCATCAACCCCTCCTGTGCTCATCTTCTCCCCTACCCCCACAGGCCCACTGGATTCTGGAGTCACCCAGACCCCAAAACACCTGATCAAAGCACCAGGACAGCAGGTGATGCTGAGCTGTTCCCCCCTTTCTGGGCACCTCTCTGTGTCCTGGTACCAGCAGGCCCAGGGTCAGGGTCCCAAGTTCCTCCTTGAATATTTCAGCGGGAAAGAGAGAGACAAAGGCCACATCCCAGGCCGGTTCTCAGGTCGACAGTTCTCTGACTACCACTCGGAGCTGAACGTGAGTGCCCTGGAGCTGGCGGACTCCGCCGTGTTCCTCTGTGCCAGTAGCTTGGCACAGCCCTGTAGAGTCACTGCTACCCTGTACATAAACCCCTCTGCCCAGTTCAGGAAGTGACGGTGAGAGTCAGAGGGGCTCCCAGGCTGAGCTCAGGCCTGCTGAGCTGAGGGCTCCCCAGACACTCTTTCTGCTGCTCATCAACGGAACGTGCCTCAGTGATGACAGAAGTGTGCTGAGGAAGGACTGTCTGACTATTTATTCAGCTGCAGAACAACAATTGACAGAGGTGAAGCCACTCTCTTGCTCGTAGAGGTCACATTGGGGTCCCATCTTCCTACACCTGTGGCCCCTGACCCCACTGTGCTGAACTATCCCTGCATCCGCTTCTTCTTTCCACACCCAGCTGTGCAGGAGCAGGAAGGTCAGAGGTCATGCACCACGTATGATGATCATGCCCATTTCCCGGACTACTTCAGGGCAGAGACCATGCATGGGTCCTATAGGTGACAGGAGAGAAAGGCACAGTTTTCTGCACTGGAGGAATTCCATCCTCATGGAATAAGATATACAGAATTACAAATTGCTTTGCCAAAAGGAAAGTGTCCTTGGTTGGATTCTCTAGAGAAGCAAATCCTGTAAAGTATATAAATATATATATATAGAGAGATTTATATCAAGGAAATGGATCACACAGCTGTAGATCCTGGAACATCCCAAGTCCGTGGGTCAGGACAGAGGATTCTCCTGATTCATGAAGCCACAGGGGCTGGTGAACCCAAGATCGGCAGGTCAGAGAGCAGGGCTCTTGCTCACAGGCTATGAAGATCAACAAATACCAAGATCGGCAGGCAGGTAAGCTGCTAGCTCAAGTCCCAGGAACTAGAGGTCAGAGGAACAGCAGCCAGCTGCAGGATCTAGAAGGAGCAAAAGCCCACATGCCTCGCCAGAATACCCACTTCTATTCAATGCAGGCCACATGCCCAAGGAAACTCCCTTCAACTGATTGGCTACTCATAGGAGATCCCATCATGGAGGTGATCACATAACACCAAATCTCAACATGGAAGTGATCACAACATCATACGATTTTATCAAATCACCAAAAATCGTGGTCCAGCCAAGTTGATACAGAAACTTAACCATCACAACAAGACTCATCTACTGATAAGCCTTGTGCGATTGTAGAGGAGGGCGTTCCTCCCACCCTGAGCTCTTGGTCAGCATGTTTCTTGTTGACTTCAGGTTTCAGGGGAAAAGGGGTGTGGCCACTGTGGCAGGCAGCTCTAGGGCCAGGCTGGGGCTGAAAGGTGACATCTCAGAAGGATCCCTCCAGAGCCCATGTCTGCACGCTGCCTGCCCCTGCCATGAGCCTCCTGTGCGCTGTGGTCCTGACTGTTCTGGGGGCAGGAGTGTCCTGGGCAGGACCCTCCCCTCTCCTGGGATTTCCCGATCCTGCCCCAGCCTTTCCCTGGGGCTGCAGCACCAACTCTGCTCTCTGTACCCACAGGGCACATGGATGCTGGCGTCACCCAGACCCAGAGGCAAAAGGTCACAAGGACAGGAGGGAATGTGACCCTGCAATGCACCCAGGACATGAAGCACAACTACATGTACTGGTACCGACAAGACCCGAGGCTGGAGCTGCTGCTGATGCACTACTCTCCTGGTGTTGGTGATATTGTCAAAGGCGACATCCTATACGGGTACTGTGTCTCCAGATCAAACACGGAGCACTTCCCCCTCACGCTGGGGTCAGCGGCCCCCTCGCAGACAGCTGTGTACTGCTGTGCCAGCAGTGTCTCCACAGTGGTGCACGGCCAGCTCAGCCCCTCAAAGAAAGGGCTCAGGAGGCCCCAGCAGCCCGCTGACCCTGGGGAACTCGGAGCTGGGAAGACAGGTACTGGGGCCTTTGTTCCTGCTGAGGTCCAGGTCCAAGCCACTCTCAGCTGACCTGGACCTAGTGATGGACAAGCAGCAGTGTGTCCCCAGGATAGTGGCAAATGCACAGAGCTCCAGTGTGTCCTGCCCATGTGCCCCTCACCTTGTTCCCAAATTCTCTGCCCTCTAGAAAACTCCCATGCTTCCCCTGAAGGATAAGCAGTTTGTGACTACAGTTGTCCAGTTAATAAATCTGGACATATTTTAGTGGCCATGGAACAACTGGGTGTTCTCCTAGCAGTGAAATGAAGAACTGAATCCCCTGTGACAGCCTCGTGGGTTTCTGGAGGCGCAGGGAGATGCACTATTGCATATTACACACGGTTGTTTCATGGTTGATGAGGCTGAGTCTCCTTCCATAAGGAAAAAGAGAGAAAGCTGTTTTTGTGGCATGGAGACTCGGATGGCAGGGCTTTGCCATGGGCTGTGGGGACAGATTCCTTCATGAAGATGAGTGAACTCAGGGACGTTGCTCTTTGACAGGGTCCTTGGGCCTGGATCTATGCTGTGATTTTTTTAGACGGAGCTTATACATATTTAAATCAGTCATCCAAGTGTGTTATAATATAATATAATATGATTACTTGTTCCTGAGGCCGTGGGAACTGATGAGATAGTGACACCATCTGCCTTGTGGGGAAAGGGACGCCCCTCTTCTGCTCATGCACACAAACACCCTGACCTGGCAAACCATGCCCCCAGGCCTGCCTGAGCCACCATGGGCTCCAGACTCCTCTGCTGAGCGGCCCTCTGCCTTCCTGGGGCTGGTGAATCTCTGGATACTAAGTAGTTCCAGAGTGTGTGTGGTGCGTGTGTGTTCATGTGTATGCATCCATGAGGCGGCATGTATGAGTGTGCATGTCTGGTGTGTTTAAGTATGTGGACTGTGTGTATGTGGTGTGTGTGTGCATGTGTAGTGTGCATGTGTGGTGTATAAGTGGTGTGTCTGATGTGTGTGGTGTGTGTGTTCGTGTGGTGTATGTGGTATGTGTATCTGTGTGGTGTGTGATGTGTGTATGTCTCTATCTGCATGTGGTATGTGTGTGCCTGTGTAGTGTGCATGTGTGTATTCATGGTGTGTGTGGTGTGCCTGTCTGTGTGGTGATCCCTCTGGTTTTCCCCATCTGTTCCCATCGTCTGTCTCCACAGGTCACACAGGTGCTGGAGTCTCCCAGGCCCCCAGGCACAGGGTCACAAAGAGGGGCCAGGCTGTAGCCCTCAGATGTGATCCAATTTCTGCTCATGCTGGCCTTTACTGGTACCAACAGACCCTGGGGCAGGGCCTGGAGTTCCTGACATATTTCCAGAATGAGTTTTCAGGAGACACGGGATGCCTGAGGCTCAGTTCTGTTCCGAGATTCCTAATGGGTAATCTTCCACACTGAGGATCCAGCCCATGGAGCCGGGGGACTCAGTTGTGTACATCTGTGCCAGCAACTTAGCCACAGCGTGGCATTTCCACCTCCTGCCTGTGCACAAACCACATACTCCTCCCCTCTCCTTGCTACTCCTAGAAACCCTGAGCGAGGTCTTTCTCTGTCCTTCACTCCCCAGGGAAAGAAGTAGGTAGACTAGGACATCAGCTGACCTTAGGAAGAGGCTAGACCACAGATGAACCCATGAAGCACTATGGTTGTAGAGGTTGGGTGGATGACAGAAATCATTGGATGATAACTGAAATGTCTGCCCAGTCCTTTGCTGATCTGTATTTACTGGGCTTACACTGATGTTCTTGTGAGTGGTGGTGGGTAGGGCATTTTTGTTTATCTTCAGTAATGGAGACAGAAGGACCTCTTTCCATTTCAAGTTTTGTGTTTTTCTTCTTATTTAAGACTAGATATTATTTCCTTCTATCCCCCGTTCTATTCTTCTCACTTTCAGAACCTAATTTTAAGGGAGAAAATTCCAGTTAGGTGATAACTGTCAGATATGCTGTAGGAGTTAAGTAGAAAGAAGGTGGGATATTATACATGGTAACTCAAAGGAATATAGTTAGCGTGTTTTAGGCTGTGTTCTCTAGAGGAGCAAAATCAGTGAAATGTATACATAAACATATATAGAAAGATTTATTTGAAGGAAATGGCTCACACAATTGTGGAGGCTGGCAAGTCCCAAATGCTTGGATCAGGTGTCAGGCTGGTGGCTTCTCCTGACTCATGTAGCTGCAGGACCTGGTGAATCCAAAACCTGCAGGTCAGGTGGCAGGCTGAAGGCTTCTCCAGGAACAGGAGTCAACCATGAGATGAGTGCAGGATTGAGAGAGAGAGAGCATGAGCTTTGCTAGAACATTCATATATATTAGATGAAGACCACATCCCCAAGGAAACTGCCCATCCAACTGATTGGCTGTCCACGTCATATCTCAAATTTGGAGGATGATTACATAACATCTGCCAAACCACTGAGAATCATGGCCTAACCAAGTTAACACATAACATTAACTATCACATAGGGTTAGGACTAGTGTTCAAGGATGCTGATTGTGAAACTTCCAGAATATTCTGTAATTTACACCCTGCTGACAATGCAGAGGTTCCTGGATGATGCACAAGTTTGGGCTCAGCTACTAACTGGAAGATTGGTGGTTCAAATTAACCCCAAGGAACCATGGAACAAAAGCTTGGCAATCTGATTCCATAAAGATTACAGTTAAAAAAAAAAAAAACCAAAAAACCCTATGGAGCTCAGTTCTACTCTGTAACGCATGAGGTCCTCATGAGGTGGAATCAAAGGCAGTGGTTTGGTTTTGGTTTTCATTTTGGTTTTGACTATGCAGACACTTCCTAGCATCCCTTGGGCCAGCCCATAAGGGATAAACAATAATGACACCTCCCTTGTTGGCCACAAGATGGCACTGTGGTACCACTGAGGTCTAGGGGGTTCTGGGAGGGTCTGGGAGAGCTAGCTGCACAGGAGGGGAATGGTTAAGGAAAACTTCACTGCATCCAATATTAGGCAGATGTTTGAAGTTCTCAGTCACTGCTAGGATACCTACAGCTCTGCGGAAGGTGGAAGGTCCCTCTAAATGCTAATGAGACCCACAGTGGGAGAACTGTGCCCCCCACAGCTTGAAGTAAGGGGCAAATGCAAAGAAGAAGGTAAGAAACCACGGGTTGGGGTCTATCCTGAACTCAGTGCACCATGCCTCACCCTGTCTTTCCTGCAGTCAGAGGCGCCTGGGCCGAAGACCCTAGGGGAAGGTGACCCAACTGTCCTCTGGAGAGGGGACTCCGAGGAAGAGAAGAAGTAACAGAAGGAGGAGAAGGAAGAGGAAAAAGAGGAGGAGGAGAAAGAGGAAGAGGAAGAGAAGCAGGAGGAAGAAAAAGAGAAAAAGGAGGCAGAAGGAGAGCAGGAGAAGAAACAGGGAAAGATGAGAAGGAAGAGTTATGAGGAGGAGAAGATGGAGAAGGAAGAGAAGGAGGAGGATGAGGAGAAAGAACAGGAGAAAGGGGAGAAGGGGCTCCATAGAGGAGGAAGAGGAGAGCATCGGGCAGGGTGGCATGTGCTGTGTGTGTGCATGTGTGTACGTGCATGTCTGTGTGTCCATGCATGCGTGAATGTGAGTTTACATGTGTACCTGTGTGTGCATGTGTGTGCATTTGTGTGTGTGTGTGTGAAAGAGACAGAATGCAAATAACACTTTATGCTATGTCATCAATTTGAAATACTCTGGGTATCTGAGTAAAGCAGAGGGCAGTTGCTCTCAGCCTCTTTCCAAAAGAAAATTTATCGTTCATTTTCTTTTCAAGGGACATGAGCAAAGTAGGAGGCCACTGAGCAGCTTTAAACTCCCCTAGTGAGCTGGGATTTTCCAACTCTAAAATGATTACATAAAGTCCCCTGATTTTTAGTACTATTGGGCGGCTGTTGTCGTTGCTTTTAGCTACTGTCAAGGTCACCCCTGACACATGACAACCCCATGAAGAACAGAACGAAATACAGCCCAGACCTGCATCATCCCCATGATGGGTTGTGGATTAGACCATTGCTATTGCTAGGATTTTCACTGGCTGATTTTCAGAAGTAGATCACTAGCCCTTTCTTCTTAGTCAATCTTAGTCTAGAAACTCTTCTAATACATGTTCAGCATCATAGCAACACACAGGCCTCCACTGACAGACGGGTGGTGGCTGCATTTGAGGTGCGTTGTCTGGGAATCGAATCTGGGTCTCTCATATGGAAGGTGAGAATTCTACCCCTGAACCACCACCGCCATCTATCAAACAAATACTCTCTGGAGGAAAAAAAAATATCGATCACCTTTCACCCCTGCATAGACCTGTGTGGGCCCATTTCAACAGCATAGGCCCTCATTATCACAGTACAACAGGGTATATACCTGAAGGATAACTTCACCTGTATCAGCTATATGGTGAATTGGCAGGTTGGTGCCAATTGAGACTGCTCTGCCCATTAAGCAGGGTCCTCACCTACCCACATCAGGGGCCTGAGGACTGGTGGCTCCACCCACACCACCTAGTCACCAGTGACACGGGTCCAAGAATAAGTGGTGCCTCCCATTCCTTACAGCCAACAGCACTGGGTGCTCATAGTTCAGCTGCAAAATACACCCACTTATGCACTCTAGGGAACAAGGACACACTTTCCTCCCAGAAACTCAGGGACAGTTGTCCCTGCCTTACTCAGTGGGTAACCCCCTACTGCAGCCAGATACCCGTGCCTACACCAATCACCCCTGCCTGTCTAGGACTGTAGGTGAGAGCCTGCACCACACACTTGGTGACTGACTACCTGGACACCTGAGCTGAATCTGTACAAGAAAAGTAAAAGGACTCCTGGGCTCACATACTTAGTAACAGATCTAACCACTTGGTGACAGGATGTGAAAGCTTCAAAGACACTAATAATCAAACTAGCTCACATGACCAGCCTATTTGGGCATATCAAAACAGAACAGGGAGGCGGGGTCAAGATGGCAGAGTAGTCAGACGCTTCCAGTGGACCCTCTTAAAACACAGACCCGGAAAAACAAGTGAGTTGTTTATATTTGA